GACGCCTTATTCTCTGCATCAAATGTATTCTTCCTTCTACTCCGGCATTTTTTTTCGGCGCACCCTTGAATCGGAGAAAACAAATGGGTAAAGGAATAATGGCAAGCCAACAGACAGCGAGGCCCTTCTCTGGTTGTTCTTTATTCCTTCATTTTTCCGTTGAACGACCAATCGTATGGTATATATTCCACCTCATAGTGTGCACTGCGGTAGAGCATTTCGAGGTTCTTCTTCTTTTGTGAGTCAGATTCTTCCATTACCCACAGTATCCATTCGATTATCTGGAACTATTATAATTATTCAACTCGATTCCAGTTGAATTCTCTCCAGGAATTCAGAAATTACCTGGCTCCGAAGCATGACCGCTTCAGTTTTGTAAGGCATTTTTTGGCACTTTGCACCAGTGCACCCCAAATTTTCGTTTTTCCTAGCTGAAGTATTAGCCCTCTAGGGTTGCTTACTTTCTGAAGGCCAAATGGCGACCGTTGGCGTCAGAAACAAACTTATGCCTTTCAGAAAATGTTTTGTTACTTTTATTGTAGTATTAGTGGAACGGAGTCCATTTCAAAATGTTCTTTTGGTTCTATTTTTTCTCATGGTAAATAGAGAACTGAGCCAGGATACGATGGGCCAGGTCAACGAGGTATGTAATTTTGGGACGTGTCATGTTCCTTTTTGTCTCGCTGAGCTCATGATCAGATTTATGTAGCAGGTCGAGCTTTCCGTGCCAAGATATTTGTTATTTTTTTAGTTTAGTTTTCTGTTCATGCTTTCAAACATGGTTTCTTACCTCATTACGTACATTTTTGATATGATAACTTACCTTGTTTATTGTGCAGCCAAAATCCATTGCATACCACTGAAATAGCTTGCTGAAGTACAGGATCCTCCTACTCGTGTCCACCCTCATGTTGCTTTCCGATTCGAGAGCGTCTGATGCGATATCGCGTAGTTCTTTTCGAACGTTCTTAAGTTTCCTCGGTTAAAAGAGTTTTGGCTGGTAAACTACAACGATAACTCACGTCACATGTATAGGCTTTTATTGAGTGGGTTGAGCGAGTGCCATTGTTCAATGCGAAATGTACAAGTGGTTCACAGTATGGCAAAATCAGCTGGAAGCATACGATTCTGTTTCGTCATTGTTGGCATCACTTGAGGTTAATCAAACGTCTGTTTTGATTTTGTTTGTCCTTTATAATGTCTTATATTTGCATCATTTCATAACGTACTCACTATGACCCGCGGTGAGACGTGTCGTAGTTACGGACTTGGTAAAATTTGAAAGCAGCCCCGACAAATCTGTAGCACTTTTGTTTTGTGATACTCCTCATACTTTTTGGATTCCATCTACACTATTTTGTACTCAATTACGACAACTCTTGCCTGGGAAACAGTATACCTAGAAGCGCCTTGTGGGCTAGGTAGGGCCGTGTAATAAAAGTGAAACAGCCTCATGCATTTTTAAGAATCAGCGTTATTATCTGCATTTTATTCCTAATTATAGTAACTCCCAAGGGTGAAGGTTCACTCACTTAACCTAATTTGTGTATGGAAAGTCCAACCTAGTTGAAGGTCTTCTGGTATTTTTTAAAGGTAAAAAACAAGCACTTGTGCTATATTTTCCTCTCTAGTTTCAGTTATTCCTCATAATTCTCTCGAGTCGCTTTTTCTCTTCACACTCATGAAGAAAACCCACTGGTAGTCTGGCGTCTTTCTTTCCGAATGGTTTCCACAACATTTCGAGTCCTTTACGGTTTGAACGCAGAATTCCATCCAGGATCGAATGTGGTGCATATTTGTGGTCATCTATCTGGTAGTAGGTGCAGTTTGTTAGCTGAAATTCAGTTTCTGACTTACTCAGACGATACCTTCAATTAATTCCTGTACTCTCCGATCCTGTCTTTTTGCTCAATCTCAATACTAAACTTCAGATCAAATTGGTGGGGAAGCAGTGGTCGATAATGAAAATATGGATGCAAACTGACTGAAAATGAAAAAAGAACCAAGCAAACGCCGATGAAGCCATTAACAAGTATTCCCTCTTCCCCCTTGAAATAAGGAAGGGGCGGGGCCGGACGAGTTGCACAGACTTGCTTGCTCCATGGCTCTACTAACCCGCGCGTATTTGGATTAGTCACTACATGTTGGCCACTCTGCCAATCACGAGGTCTCCACTCTCCACTGAAAAGTGGACGGACCAAAATTAGCACCTATCCAGCTCCTCGTAGTGGCTTTCCGGGGTCAGTTTTTGCTTCAGCGACACTTCTTGTGTTCTCGACTAGGCTCACGCATCTTTTCACCCCAATAGCAAACGTATGGATCCATCTGGGGTTGTTGCATTGAAAAAGAGCTCTGCATAGTACGAGTTCAATTCGATGTTATGATATTTTAGAAGTAATTTGGGATCTCACCTTTCTTCTGTCCCAAATGGTTCGTGGCGGGCCTTGCAAGTATATCATGTGTATCGTCATCATATTGTACACATTAATAAAGAAGGCGAGTTTCTCGTCAGGCGAAGCCTCTTTGAGTCGTACATTCTGTAGATTCCGTGCGTGATCGATGTAGGCTTGGAAATTAGCACTATCGGATAACTTGTGGTAGAGGATTGTCTATAATTCAAAGCATTTTTTACCTCTCAGAATTAACTGCACCTAAGCTTTGTGAATGTTTCTACTGATACTGGTTAACAAAGTATCAGTGCTGTGAAGCGGAATCCATGATAGGTTCAGGCTAGCTCTTTGAAAGGTTTCTAATTCTGAGAATCACTTGCTGGTCCTTCTCGCGGGACCTCTGACGTACCCGATAAGAGTCCCGTCGCGAGTCAAGAAGGCAGAGACGCAAACGGATCAGCGGACGAGTCGCAGCGCATATCATGCGGTGTGGGACGTACTATAGTACATTCATTTAAATTGACACTGAATAGCTACAGTACGCGCTGCGCGACTCGTACGCCACCCGTCTGCGTCTCTGCCTTCTCGCCGCGCCGCGGGTCTCTTGCCGGGTGCTCCACAATCTTATCATGGACTCCTTAGAGTGATCCGTTCTACATTTAAACTTTTTTCTGGAAGGGGCTGTTTCATCAGAAGTAGGGGCAGAACCTACCCAATATTATGCGACTTTTCCCATAAGGAAGCGGGCATGGATTGACAAGAGTTTTGGCGTTCAGTGTGACAACGAAAATTCAAACTAAGCAGAGATGGGCATAAATAAGAGTATGACCGCAAG